AACATGCAGCTGTTTTTTTTTTTCTCGTTCTTTGTTCATTAAAATAAGACATACCGTATGTATATGTATATGTGTATGTATGTGTAAAAATTTTCAAAATAAAATTGAATTGATTCTTGTTCACGAATGCATTTCTTTTCAAAATTTATAATAAAATTAAAAATAATAAATATATGCTGATTATATTTCAAAAATTGTGCATTTAAGATAAAAAAAAATCATTTATTTTGATCCAATTAACAAGAAAAAGTAAGAAGTATTTAAAAAAGTAAAATTGATTTTAAAATCATCAATTTGACTTTGATTCAAGGTTAAATTAGATCATTATCTCTTTTCCTCTTTAACACCAACCTTTATTTGTAAAATTATTTTCAAATTATGTCTGTTTTAATTTTCGAATGATTTGCCTCGGGAAAATAAAATAAGATATCTGATACATATTTTAGATGAGTTAAATACTGCATTGTTTCATAATTAGGCCTCCACCGAATAGCTGATTTGAAATTTAATAAAAAATACTTCTGTAATATTCATAATTTCTATATTTTATATAATTATATTTAAATGTTACATTAACTCAATTAGCTAAGTAAAAATAGATACTCAAATTAAATATCTATAATCTGTGTGCAAATATTCTAGAGAAAAGAGAAAGCCTAACTTTTTCTATATTGATTAATTTCACATTTTACTATTTAGGTATAAGAACCTATATTTCTTATCAAAGCTTCATCTTATCTTCTATCTCTCGCTCATATATATGCTAATCTTTAAAAATTTTATTATAGCTACATACACAAAGAAACAAATATTTTATGAATTAAAGACAATTAAATATAATGTACACTTTCATATTCGTATACAAGAAAATTATAAAATAGTATAGTGTATGTAGCGGAAGATCAATCATATTGTAAATTACATAGAATATGTATCTATACTGAGACCATATTTGAATAAATATACTATAATTATGATTTATAAAATAATACAGATACATAACATAATACTTTATATATAAAAAAAGACAAAGAGTAAATGGTAATAACGTTAAATTAATCACAATCTATTTTATCACGACAATCAACTTATAATCTATATTAATAAGCTAGTGTGGAGATCCGGCAATATAAACATAAATATATTCCTGATAGGTTTTCCACGCATTCAGTCTACCATCTGGTTGGTCCGGTGCCACTTGTAGGTGCATTGGCTCCTATGAATGGATTTGTGGCAGCCGCTACATCGAAATATCTTATTAGTGATAAGACAAATAAGAGATTTAAAAAAAGCATTTCTTATTTATTTCGCTATTATCAGTATATGCTTTTAAAGAAAATTATATAACTACAACTAGATATTTAAATACAATATTTGTATTTTTTACTAACAAAAGTAATTATAAATATATGGACTCATTAGCAAGTATTATATAATTGATAATTTAAATTTACAAACATTGTAAATTTTTTATAAAATTCTATGAAATACCACAATAAAGAATGTACGTATATATGTTATAAATACACACATTTCTTCATGTTATAAATAATGATATCTCTTTCATTTCAGAAAATTCCATACATTTGTGTTTAAACTAGAGTGTGTGTACACTTTCAATACACATGTATACGCACATAGTGATATGTAAAACTAAAATTATTTAAAATTACTCCATACATATATATGTATATATATGCGCGCGCACGCGCCTTTCTCGTGCAAGTGCAATATCTATTTTCTTTAAATAATTATTAAGTTTGATTTCTAAAGGAAAAAATAAATGAAAAGAAGTACTAACATAAGATTATGATTGGGAAAATGATTTACATTTTAAACAATTTTTAATTTTTGAAATCAAATAAAGAAATAATAATTAATGTACAGAGTAAGACATTGAGATCATATTTCTGTTGTAAGAAAAATATGTACATAGAATAAGATGTAAATTTCCTCACGAATAAACTTGCTTTATTTATTGCAACTAAAATGTTCATATATCAGACGTTGTCTTGATATAAATTTAGGTGAAATGTAACTTGTATATAACTTGTATATAAAAAAACAAATTGAATATTCCTGTTATTTTTATTGACAAATAGCAATAAAATAAATTTTCAAGGCATAAATTTAAATTTTCAAGGTAACATCTAGAACAGAGATTTTCGTTGTTATAAAGGGCACGCACGCACGCACGCGCGCACGCACGCACGCACGCATGTCCACGCACATGCACACGAAAACACAGTGTTTGGTACAAGTACACTCAGTTAATTTTTTAAAATAGAATTAATAAATAAAAATAGGCAAATCTCTTAAGCATTATACGATCATTACACATGCCTTAAATTGGACAGTAGAGTGATACAAGTTCGAGCCTCCGTTAAGGTAATATTTTTCACAATAAAATTATTTTGCGGGGAGTTAGTTGATATTACTGAGTGGGAGAAAGACATAGCTTTTGATTGCTGTGTTTCAAACGTAACGGCATTATTTCGTTCGATTTTGTAATGGCACATAATTAGTAATGAAAAATATTTTTTTGAATATATTAACAATCTCTAGAATATGAAACACTAATTGGCATGGCAAAAATCTTGCCCGGTCATGTAACACCTGAATTATCTATTTCCTATTAAACATACCGGTCTATACCTATACTTATTTGTTTAATTAAATAAAAGAATTTTTCGAATATAAACATTATTTTATTCAAGATTTATGTAATGAATTTTAAAAAATACTTAATTATTTGTTTAACCTTTTTAATGGTAGTTTTATATTTTAAATAAAATATTATATCTATTATAATATTTTTATATATAATTCTATTGTAATTCTGTACAAAATTCTATGATGAATTCAATAATGAACAATAAAGTATCAATTTTAGTAGCTGCTTTTAACAAAAAATATTATTGTCATTCGTATCGCTTTTAGGTATACAAATGGAAAAATAAAATAAAAAAGTTATCAATATTAATCCAAAATCATGCTGTAACAAAACAGATGTAATATTTTATTTGAAAAAATAAATTTCATTAAAAAACATTAAAAAAATAATTAAAAATTTTTGTTGCTATTGTACAGATCTTTTTAAATAACTTTTTACAGTTACGTAATTAATAAAATATTTTTTTCACTATTGTTTATAAAGACAAGTGAATGTATACACTTAATTACAAATATACACTGTGTGCGTGCGTGCGTGCGTGTATAATTTTTTCAAACTTGAATAATTGTAACTATATAATACATAATTACAAATATATTCAAATTTTCAGTTTATCGAACTTGTTTAAAAAATCTATCATCTTTTAAAGAGACATTAAACACCAAAAGTATGCACACTACACTTAAAAATAGAAAAATACGTAAGAATTTTATTCATAAAAAAAGATAAGAAAGTAGGATAAACTGGAAGTAACAATAGAGAAAATAGCGAAGCATATAATTACATACTGTATATTTGTTTAAAAAAAATAATATGATTCATATGAACATTTATCCGATACAAACTGCGAAAGAAAATAATTTTAATAAAATTTCTTAAAATAAATCTTATAAAGCATGATCGCGAAAATGATTTGGAAAATCGTATTACAAATTATGGAATATTGTAATATTTGAAACATCGAAATATGTAAAAGTGCATAGGGATGATAACAATAGCATAAAAACTAGATTATGTACATATATCTATTCATCTATTATTTAATCATTTAATCGTTCAATAAATCTATCTTTAGATAGATAATTATTTGTATATACATTTACATAAATATTTATCTATATCTATGTCTTAAAAAACAAATATTTCTTAAATGACAGATATTTTCGACTAACTTAAATGAATTCTTCTTGAACAAAAATATCGAATCAATAATTTTTAATTAGTATTTAAAGTGATCAAGAAAGAATAATGAAAGTTTTGTAAATTAGACTATGGACTATGGAGCCAAACAAACAACAAAACTATTTTCTTTTATTAATTTCAAATTAAATTATCCTCAAAAGATTAAGATATAATTAAAATAAATAATACAATATAGGCATTTTTCTTTATTTTCGTCGTCGGAATAATCAAGCCGTTTGTCATATGGTAATCGGGTGCGATCCCGAATATTCCTGTTGCGTCGTTAAGAAGCGAGAACGCGAGTGCGAGTTTGTGAAATCGCGGATCGACTCGGAATCGTACGACGTGAATTATTGACTGTCGCCCACCTGCGAGCGACACAAAGAGTCTCAGAACGAATCTGTGTGGAAGTAGTCTTTCTTTCGATGCTCGGAAAATCATTATGAATTCGATCTTTCGATTTTGGATATGAGATCGATCTGCGACCACTGTGGTTTTACAGACAATACCTCTCCCACATACAATTAAAATTGAAAAATTATGAAAATAATAATCTCTCGACATGCTTGCTAGAAAAAAAAAAAAAAAAATAGTTTGCCATTAAAGAACATTTCTGGTGATTTTGAAACGTCAGAGGTAACTTTTCAACTATTTCTTGGCCAATCTAAAGTCAATTTTTTTGTAGCAAACATATATATTTCAATTTAGATATAAATTTTGCAATTTAAGATTTTCGATTTAAGCTTAATCAAACGTATCTTTGTTTTTTTTTTCAATATATATAAGACGTTACATTATATATACATATCTGAATGTATACAATTACCGTGATAACTTACACGGTAAAACTAATTAAAGTATATATTTTCATATTTACTATACAAATTATACAAAGAATTGTAAAAACAAAACATTCATGTTTTCTCATTCTAGTAGTATCTTCTTATTATTAAAAACAAATATCTCCGTTTGATATGTGGAAGCACGTATTACGTTCCCAATACAGTTTTAATAATTTCTATTTGTAGTAAACTTGTTAATTTTGCACTAAATAAAAAAGAAATTAAAGAAGAATGCTACTAAAATTTATGCTATTTCGTTAGAAGATTAAATAGATATAATTAACATTGAATTTTATATATACACTTTTAAGCAGTGAGACTGCTCTTATAGTTTAGATTATAAGTAATCATTTCTAATGCACAAAAAAAATAGGATAATGATAGGAAAATTGTTTTAACATTTCTATTAATATTTTCAATGTTCAATGTACTAAAATTGCTATCAATGTGAAAAAATGATAAAATATATCAATCAACAAAAAGACTGGACATAAGAAAAAAACTTAAACGATTTTTACAAAAGACATGATCGATGGCAATATGCAAAAGACGTGAATTAGATGATCGATGGCAATATGCAAAAGATAAAACTTATAATATGCATTTATGCTACATTCAAGAACTCGTAATACCAGTGGTATAAATCACACGTTCACCGCCGCTATTTAGATTCGTGCTTTCGTTAGCCGTTGATGTTGGTGCAGCTGATCCTGGTGCAGGCATAGCAAATATTGGTTGCTGTACATTGGATGCATTTTGCGACACACCACTTTGAGGTTGAGCAGTCACAGCATCATCATCACTTTCTTCTTCCTGTAAAGGTATATTTTGAATATTAAAACCTAACTTATGATACACATATCTCTCTCTCTCTCTCTCTCTCGGCCGTTTATCTGTGAAGAAAGCTAGTAAAAATAGTAAGTTACTTAAAATATGTTTTATAATTGACGAATAAAATCTTTTTATTCATCTTTTGATGTTACGGAGCAAATAATGAATTGAATTTTTTCATGTCCTTTTTGCGCAATAATAAAATACCAAATAAATTATTACAAAGTCTAAATTACCAAATAAACCATTATATAGTTTAAATTAATGATAATTATATAATGAAGTCAACACAATTAGATATAAATTTGATAATTGAGATATTAGATTAATTTTGTATAATTTTTATCTAATTCTTATATACATGTATGTCATGCACGTTGTTCTCTAACATTTTACACTCACATACACGCGCGTGGGCGCATACAATGCGCGCAATATTTTGTTACGTCTTCGAATATTATTTCCATTTTTGAACAATTTTTTGCATTCATGCAATATCCTCTATTTTCATATTCATACCAAGTCAACTTTTACATAATCATTTTTGCAATTTTAACAGTATCTGTCTGAGCGAAATGTCGGGATGATATATGAAAGGGAATTCTAAATGAATTTCATAGTAAAACAGAAATAAAGATATTATCGATTATGATTAAACAATAAAATTATTGAATGTGTGTTATGTGAGAATAATAAATTTGTTGAATCATTCAAAGTAGCAGAACTTCATTATGAAATTGAAGAAATGAGCAATATAGAAAAAGTGCAAGAGAAACGATATCAGATAAAGAACACATATCCTTCAGAAATTTTTTTATTTAAAAGCGTTTGATTTGGCACTATATTCTCAGTAGATAAATATATAGGATGACAAATATATTCTGATATACAGAAAAATTTTAATACTTTTAGAATGAATAGATAGTACTGAATAGATATTACTGAAAATTATTTTTCAAATACTTTATTTATTAACAAACATCAGCTAAAATTATTTTTCATAAATTCATTTTTCATAATTTAAAAATTTTCGAATATTGATGTATGTATAATCGTAAAGTTTCGATAACATATGTTTATCAGAGAGGTGAGAGGAGAGAGAGGAGAGGGAGAAGAGGGACGGAGAAAAAAGAAGAAGGAGACCTCATTTTTACACACACACACACACACACACACACACACACACACACATAAGAATA